AATTTGAAAAAAAAAAAAGAACTTTTTTGCGGCCCACCAGGAAAATTTTAAAAAAAAAAAAAAAAAAAAAGTAGAAATTTTTACATTAATCTAAGAAAATTTCTAGAAAAAAATGTGGAAATTACTGACTTTCTTACTTGGAATTTAAAATCTCCTAAAGTCAAAAATGTAACTTTTGGGAGTCAGAAATTTTACTTTTTCTTTAGAAAATTTCTGAGAATAATCTCAAAATTAGATTTTTTTTTTCTAGCAATTTTTCAACAGTTCAAAGTAAAACATTTTTCAAGTGTTTCCTAGAAAATTTCTGAGATAATTCTCAAAATTTCAGAGTTTAGAAAATTTTAAATTTTTGACTTCTGAACTCAGAAAAGTTTCAGAAGTTGAACACTTTAAACTTTTGAAGCCAAGATTTCTCCAAAATTCTTATTCAGAAAATTTCTAAGATAAATTTCAAATTTTCTGAAATGTTTTTGGCAGAAATGTGCTGTTTTTTTTTCTACCTACAATGGCCCTAATATGTTATTGTAGAAAACACTGTAAAACTTTTACTTTTCTGCATTTGTCTTCTCTCTAGTGTCCGTTATCATCTCCTCTCACCCTGACGGCCAAAGCCACCTTCGTAGAAACCACCGTTTACCCAGAAGCCCCCAGAGGCGTTCCTCAGCCCCACTGGAGGTTTCCGTTTGGCTTCTTCACGAGAGGCGCCGCGGAGCTGGACGGCCATCTTGATCCGAGTGGCAGCAGCGCTGAGAAGGTCACATGGAGTTTAATGGCGTTCCCACTGTTGCTGCTCTCAGAGTTAGGACTCAGAAACTTTGACATAGAAATTTTTTAATTCTGCAGCTATATTTCAAAAATAAAACACTGTTTTACATAATGAATGAACAGAAGAGGATTAGGACCAATTGAAAAATATTCAGGCTTTAATCCCTGAGATTAAAGTCTGAATTCTGACTTTAATCTCAGAATTCAGTTTTTTTCTCACAATCAGAAATGTTTAAATTGTTTATGCACAATAAGGCAAAACTCAAATCTACCAATTATATTTGGGAGATTTTGGGCTTAAATTTCAGATTTACAAATCCTCTAACGAGAAAGAAACAGTTGTATGATTTAATTTACTAACACCTAAGAACATTTGGTTATTTATTTGGATTTCGACTAGTCAGAATTTTGAGATTAAAGTCAGAATATTATTACATATTTCCTCCTCCTTCTGAATGAAAGACTTGTATATTTTTCCCAGAATAAATGTTTTTTTTTACTTTCTCAGTCTCTTATTGAGGTAAAGATGCTTTTCTTTTGCACGGCTCCTCTCCTCTTTCCTCCTCATGGTCCGCTTGCTTCCTCCTGCTCTCCCGCCTCCTTGTAAAGTGAACGTAATTGAAGAGATTGGCGATGGCCGCAGGAGTCATGCCTTGCAGACGGGTAGCAGCTCCCAGCTAGCCGGCAGACACGGCGATAAGTTAAGAAAAGAATGAACTTCTTAATGTCACAAATACAAAAAACGCAGGAAAATTCAGACTCACTGTGGTCGGTCGGAATCTGTCGAGGATTTCCCTGACTTCCTGCGACAGAGACACGGGCAGAGTGAAGTAGTCGATGTCCTGCGGCAGAGACATGTTCTCCTCGCTCTGAATCCTCTTGATCTCGCTCCTGTTTTGGTCGTTGTGGGGTTTGTACACGGCTGCATGACAGACGGGAGTCAAGATTATTAAATGTTCGAAGCTCAAGAAAATTATTTCCTATGAGGGAGCAGTAGGGCCATACCAAGAAAAAATAAAATCACGAGAAAGTCACTAGTATTACGAGAATAAACTTGAAATAATATGAGAATAAAGTAGAAAGGATGAGAATAAAGTCATAATATTAGAACAGTTATATTTATAGAATAAAGTTGTAATATTATGATTTTATTCTTGTAATACAACCATATTCTCATATTATTTTGACTTTGTTTCCATATTAGTAAGACTTTACTCGTATTAATTCAACTTTATTCTCGTATGACTTTATTCCCATAATATTGACTTTTTATTCTCGTAATTTTGACTTTCTTCTCGTATGACTAATATGACTTCTTACAGTACCACAACTTTACTCCCATATTATTTAAACTCTTTTCTTGTATGACTTCCTTCTCGTAATATTATAAGTTTATTCTCGTATTGTTACTTTATTTTCGTACGACTTTATTCTCATAATATTCCAACTTTATTCTCGTAGTTTACATTTTTTATTTTATTTAACTCCGTCATAATTTCATAATAAAACATCCAGATAAATGTGTCGGCATTAAGGCCATCAAAAAACAATCAAAATCTGACTTTGAACTTTTAATCCTGTGTCCCTGGGTTTACAGTGAGATCGTTGTGTTAACGTGGAATGTCAGAAGTCAGGTTTCACCCTCTATTTTGAGTCTTTGTGAGAACTCCATGTACGGTGAAAGGCACTCAGGAAAGACAGAAGCCAACATTTCGAAGGAGACGTCCTTGTACTCCAGCAGGTCCATCCCGCTGGAAGGAAAACAAACCAGAACCAAAAATAAACCGGGGATGTTACTGAAACCTTTGTAGTTTTGGTTCAACCGACCGGACTCACCTGAGCGTCTGGTTCTTGTTCTCGCTCATGCTGATTCCCGGCAGCTTCTTCCTCCAACTGGTTGAGGACATTGTGAGAGCCTGGAGGGCGGCTATTGCATTCTGGAGACTGCAACGCACCCTAACTGCCTCATGGTGGCGCACAGCGGAGACGCATCCCAGCTCAAACCCTGATGGAGACGCAGAACAAGATGCTGTTCAGAGCTGCCCATAAATCGGTTCCATCGATTAGTCAAGATTTCTGGTTTTTGAAGATTTAACTTTTGGGAAATCTGGATTTTTCCTTTTGACTTGCCAGAGTCTTAATTAACTTATTCTTGCAATAAAGTCTGACTCCGGCAATACAACTTTATTGTCTGAATAAAGCCATATTACTAGGATAAAGTTGTATAATAGCTGAAATATTACCAGCATAAAGTCTTAATATTACTGGAATAAATCTGTACAATTACAAGAATATAGTTATAAGCCAGAGTCATAATATTATTACAAAAACCAAAATGCTCATAGCCTGGCCCTAATGCTCCGTCATACAACTCGCAGAATGGATGATTGAAATGATTTGGTCTGAAAAAAACAAGATTTTATTTTTAAGCTATGTCACCCAGCCCAAGCTGGCGCCTTATGAAGGAAACCAGTCAGACACGGAGGGCTACCTTTCATCGTAAGGCGGAGATCAGCGTTGTCCGGCCTCAGAGAAGTCCGAAACTCCGCCCGGCTGGTGAACATGCGGTACGGTTCGGTAACTCCTCGACTCACCAGGTCATCAACGAGGACGCCGATGTAGCTCTCTGTCCGAGACAGCGCCGCCGGAGGCTGGGAGAGGGCGCGGCGGGCGGCGTTCACCCCCGCCCACAGCCCCTGTACAGAACACCACCGGAGAAACATGATTCACTTCCTGTTTTCTTCTTCTCTGATCGCTACGGTTAAACCCAAAATTATTAATTAACTCTAGCTAGGCTGGATGCTATCTAGGTAACTGACTTACTATTAATTTTCGATTAATGGTTTATTAGGTTTATTAGATTAGAATTAGATCCGATCATTTGCTAATGACGTCCATTAAACCTTCTATTAGTGTTGTAGTTTGGCCGCCATCCAGCAGAGGGCCCCGTTGGTGATCCTGAAGCGGGGGATCAGCAACAGGAATGATACAGGATTTAAAGATGGCGGACACACCAGAACGGGGACGGTCCAAACAAAGTCAGGGATGGGATCAAAAGTAAACTGTATGCGTTACTGTTTTAAAATATAAGCATTCGAAAAACTTTAAGTTGTTTAGAAATTTAAACCATCGACAAGAACCTTATGTTATCACCTTAATAGCGCTCATTCAGCAGTTCTTAATGGCGGAGCGAGTCAATATCATTCAAAAATTATTGGTTAGCCTAGCTACAAAAGTGGGAGATATAATTGAGCAAAATGAGAACAATGGATAACATGTATCTCTTCTGAGCATTTATGAGTTTAAAATAATCCTTGTTCTGATTTTAAGCAGTTATAATTGGGGGGCTTCATTCTGAATATTTTTTCAAGGTATACTGTTACTGACATACTGACTATATACTGACAGTTTGCTGGGAATTTAATTAAAACGATTATGCAGCTCTATCCAAAGCCTTAAGTTATTTTTGAGCTTCGGGAATCACCTGTGCAGCTGCCTCTTCGTAACCCGTCGTCCCGTTGATCTGACCGGCCAGAAAAAGTCCCTGCGTGTTTTTTACCTGCAGCGCGGGACTCAGCTGGGTGGGACACACATAGTCATACTGCACACCATAACCTGCAGGGAGCGGGAGGTTTGTACGTGAAAAAAACAAGCAGATGTGTTTGCATTAACCATAAAATTTCACAAAATTGGAATTTTGAAAATAAATTTGCTTGATGAAAGGACAATTTTAAAAAGCACTTTTTTGATTAAAAAAACGGGTTTTGCCTAGGTTATTCGCTGCATTGAAATTGGCATATTTCACAAAACTGCAATGGAAACACTTATTTTGCATCATACAAGTCATGTGATCAATAAACGGATGTTACCAGTGGCAGAAAAGATGAATGAAACCACAGGAAGTGGTAGGAGGCTGATGGCGCAGCAGGTTTTTTTAATGATTTAACTGTGAACAAACTTATTCATATGTATAGAGAAGGATAAGGGCCACTAAAAATAATTCTAACTTTAATCTCAAAATGTAGAGTATTTTCTCTAAAATCTAACTTTAAACAGAATTTTGATTTAAATTTCCAGAATTCAGGTAATAATCTCAGAATATTCTCTGGCTAATCTAAGAATTTTAACTTTATTTTCAGAATTCCATCCTTTTTTCCCCTCAGAATTTTGCCTTAAATCTCAAAATTTTGGCTTAATTGCAGAATTTCGACTTTTTTTCTCTGAATTCTGACTTTAGTCTTCTGCGATTTTGTTTCTGTCTTTAAAGTCAGTGGTCCTAATCCTCCTCTATACACATTTGATTTTAATTGTGTTCCTTAATTCATGGAATCACTGGAGACTTTTTTGTGAAATTGTGTGTTTTTTTTTTTTTTACATTAGTGGAATATTGACAAAGTTTTACATATATTTTTAATGGAGATGCATCTGCTGATGGCATCCATTTCCCACTCTGGGTCAGGTTTTCCAGGTTTTCTGCGTACCTGGAGTGTGGATCTCCGCTCTGTGCAAGGGAGGGATTTCTCTGATGAGGCGCAGCTGCACGTCAGGAGGCATGGTCATGGACAGGCCCTGTGGGTACAAGAGGTCAGAAGTCAACCCCTCGGGCTCCAGCCACACCTGGTGACTTCTTCCTGGAAAGCGCAGCACCCTGGACTCAATGGAGGGGCAATATCTGAGAGAGAAAAACACAGAGATTAAATGTTTCTGCTTCACTTCAACTGGATCAAAAATCAGCAGGAGGCTGAAGAGGCTGACAGCTTAACGCTGGAGCTGAGAGGCTTTCAGAAGGTGGGTGGGAGAAAACTGGAGCTACACATCACTCCAAATACACAGGAAAGGAAAGAAGAAGGAAAGGAGTTAAAGGAAAGTGTAGCAGGATTGTGAAAGATTCTGGCTTTACTGATGAACGGTGAGGTTTATTGGGATAAACCCTGAGTTTCACCATAAGAGCTGTAGCTCAAAAACACACACAAAAAACAATGTAAGCTACAAAAACATGCTTTTACAAACGTAACGTATCAACTAAAAATAACGTTCACTACTGAAAATATCAACTCTAATTCAAAACTATGCCCTACTGCAGGGGTCACCAACTCCAGTCCTCGAGGGCTACCATCCTGCAACTTTTAGATTCACCTCTGCTCCAAAATGTCTGAA